TGCAGGCCTGGGTCTGGGTGAGAACGATCCTGTGCGTGCATTTGAGAGTGTGGCCAGGGCTGCTGTGCCGGTCTGTGCCCGAATGCCATCCGGCTGGCTGAGGCAGGAAGAGGAGGTCATTGAAGTCCGCCCACCCGGCTCCTCGTGCTCCCGTCTTTTCATCGGCCCATCCCTGGCTCCCTGCTGCCAGGGTGCGCCTGAGCTCCGCCCTCAGTGTTTTAGACATTTCCTGCAGTGGGGCTAGATGGGCCTGGCTCTGGTTCCTACCCACCAACCATTAACGGCTCATCTGGAGCAGGCTTCCCAGTCTTACTTCCCACACCTGAGGAATGGGCCTGGGCCAGCCACCTGGCGGGGCTGAGGACGGCACGTGTGGGTGAAGGTAGGGCCCGGAGCCGAGCACCCAGCAGACGCTGGGTCAGTGTATTTCTCCGGACCGCATTTCTCCCTGCTGAGACTTGGGGAGTACAGACATTCAGGGGGCCCAGCAGGGCCTCCTGGTCAGCATGGTTTGGCGTGGGGATCAGAAGGCCTCAGGAAGCAGGGGGTTGTCTGTGCAGGTGTGGGGTGGGGAGGGCTGTCCTGCCTGTGTCCTCTGGGCCCTGGGGACAATCCCCTTCCCTTCCCAAGCCCATGCCCTCTTGGAGAAGGCACACCCCAGCCTGGCTGTGGTTAGGCTGCGCCCCTGGAGAGGCAGCGAGGACAGAGGGAGGACAGGTGCTAGGTGTACTCTTAGCAGACACCGAGTCATCCAGCCTCCAGCCTGCAGGATGTCCCTGCGTGCCAGCACCCTGACTGGGAGGCCGAGCTGCCACTGTGTATCTCTGGGCAAGAGAAGGGACCCTTCCATATAGATGCAGTTTGCCAGGCCCACCAAACTTCCCAAGCGTGAAGAGAGGAGGTGAGAATAGCTTGTTTCTCCTGCGTGGAGATAAATTCCCCTTCCTCCTGGGGACCAACTGCGTCAGGAGGGGTGAGTGGGCGCCTGTGGGTGGAGGCTGCTGTCCTGGGCTCCTGCGGGCCGTCTGCCCATGCAGTGCACTGGGTCCAGGGCCAGGAGCCGAGCTCGCCCAGGTGCTCAGTAGGTGCCTGCTCAGTGACCCACATTCAGTAACCGATTTCTTTGCTGGCGAGAACTACTCAGCCCCCAGGATGGCAATGAAGCCTCCACCACAGCTGCAGCGAGCGGGCCCAAGAGGACAGTGGGCACGGGAGTCTAGGCGGGAAGGCCGCGCTTTTGCGGGAGCTGGGAGAGGGGCTTTCTCTCAAAGCTGCATGTCTGCCTTTGCCGCCTGCGGACTTACGGCCCGCGTTTCAGCCCCATTTACCTGCTGTCTCGACCCAGTGGTGGCAGGAAGGGAGCCTCCACTGGGAGCCTCAGAGCTGGGTGTCCGTCCCGGGTGGGGAAGGAACTGGGAAAGACGGTCCCCTCCACCGGGCAGTGCCCAGAGGCCGTGGCCAGCGCATTGCTGCTGTGGTGCAAGGGGCTGGCGCAGGTCAGAGCGCACCGGGGACGGAAGCCAAGTCTGGACAGCTGCTGTGGTCGCCTCACCACGGGCTGTGGTGCTCATGACCTCGGCACTCCCTGAGGGCTCGGCTGGCCACCAGACTCACCCAGTCTCGTTGCTCGGTGTGTCTCTGCAGAAGCCGAGAACCTGGAGCAGCCCTGCCGCAGGAGCCTGCACGGGAACACCTTGCTTTTGCTCCCAGCTTCACAGGTCCCAGGTTGTCTCAGGTGACGCTCCACTACGCCCCAAGTCTGTAGGGACCTGGGCACTCTGGCATTCTCCGTCAGTCCTGGCCAAATGGCAAAGCCCGTGCACCAAGCAGCTCGCTGCCCCGCTCTGCTCCTTGGAGCTCAGGGCGCAGCGTGGCTGCCGGGAGCCAGTGCAGGCTGAGGGTCTGTGGCTCTCACGGCAGAAGCCCAGGAGGGGCTGTGCTTGCTCTGGCGGGACTTTTCCACTCCGGCCTCGCCTCAGCTTCCAGCCTTGGGCCATACCTGGGCCCGGTCCTTGTCCCCCTTCCTTTTCTCTACACCTCCACCTAGAATCAGGTCACCAAGCGTCACTCAAGCTACCACTGACTTCCACGTGGTAGAGGAAATGTGAAGGAGAACCGTGCTGAGGACCAGGCCCAGCCTCGGGCTTACTAGTGGCCCCTCAGATTCCTCTGAGTGGAGCGTATGTGGTCAGGGCAGACCCCACCCGGGACCTAGCGGCTGCCCATGCTCAAGGCCTCGTGTCGGGGCGAGAGCTGCAGAAGGGCTGACCGTGAGAGGACGAGGGTCCCATGTGCATCCCTCCTCACTCTGCTTTGCCCTGGGGACACTGGCCACGGTCCAGCCATGGGGCGGCGAGGGTCATGGAGTGACGGGAAGTGGGCAGGTGGGTTAGTGGGTCCTAAGGAGTGACTGAAAAAGCATAGGAGAGGTTCTTACCCTCCTGGTGTTTGAGGGAAACAAACCAAACCCTTCAGGGTGATGGTTAATGTGGCACGTTATTTGTGGGTGTCTGCGAGGGCGTTTCCAGGGAGATGGGCAGGAGCACCCCAGGGTGAGAAGCAGCTCCCCACCTCTGCGCAGGTGGGCGTGGCCAGCTGCTTGCAGCCCGCGGGGAACAGTCAGGTGGAGGCAGGGCAGAGTCACCTGTCTTGGAGTGGGGCCGTCACCCGTCCTCTGCCCTCAGACCCTGTGCCTCTGGCTCCCAGCCTCCAGCTTCTCCGGCTTTCTGACTCGGACTGAGTCGCACCCCCGCTCTCCGCGTCTCCGGCTCGTGGATGGCAATCATGGGATGTCTTAGCCTCTGTAATTCCATAAAGCCCTCTCTCTTTTCTGTCATCGGTCCATCTATCCAGTTGCTTCTGTTTCCCTGGAGGTCCTCAGCACAGACGCAGCCTCTCTCAGGAGCCCCCTCTCAGGAGCCCCCTCGGTCGCTCTTGCCGGCTCGCTCTGGAAGATGCCTGGTGGCTTGACAGAGGGAGGGAGGCTCCTTCTGGAAGAGAAGCTGGCTTGCAGGACTGTGTGTGCATCCTTCCCTGCCGGAGTGCACAACAGCAGAGAAGGCGGTGATGGCACCATTAGCACAGCTGGGGACGTGCCACTGTGTCATCTCTGGGCCCCAGGCCCTCTTAGGCTGGGCCTGCTGTGTGGCTGCCCCTGCACTCCAGTGCCTGGGCCCTCTCCACCTTCACGGACCTCACTGTGCTGCAGGCGGTGCTCAGGCTGGCCGCCCGCTCCATCAGACTGGGCCGGGCCCTGGGGCCTAGAGGCACCTGGAGCCAGCGGTGGGAGTTCACCTTAAGGTCCCCCTTGCTCACTGGCATTTTCAGTATCTGTTACCCTGAAAAGTATAGACCATGTCTCGCATATCCACAGCTGGCGAGGTTGCGCGGCCCCAGCGCACCGCAGGTCTTAGCCAGCCCCACCCAGGTGCTGGCTTCCTGGCCGAGTAGGACATGGCCCAACCCGTCACACCCCAGGCTTCTCTTTTTAAAGAGACAGAAGAGGAGGCATGGTGAGGCAGAGGGCAGACTGGCCTCTACATGGCCTGCTCTGCCCTGGGCAGTGCCTGCACCATCAGGAGGTAGCCCCAGGCCCTGCGGGGCCACACAGCCTGCACTCTGGTGACATGTGGATGCAGTAGGTGCCCTAAGGTTGCTGTCACTGGGACGAGCCCAGCTCTTCCACATTTTCTCCCAGGGCCTCACAGCTGACCCCTGGGAAGGGGCCTCAGGGGAAACTGCCTTCCACCGCACCCTGGCCGAAGGCGGCGATGGTGGGGGTGTGGACTGGGTGGGCCACCCTCTAGAGAGGCATCCGAGTCCAGTCCCCAGAGTTCAAATTCAGAAACAGGTCCAGGGCGGGTGTCGCCCCCAGCCAGGGATCTAGCCTCATGTAAACGGAGGGCCAGCGCACAGGAGTTTAGCCAGCGGGAGCTCGGCCGCAGCTGTGGCGGGCTGGGAGAAGGGCTGGCGCATCCGGCGCTGACGGTTACTAAGGAGACCCTCTGAAGTACCTGCCAGAAGCGTGCACGTGTACGTCTATGTGTACGTATATATGTATTCTGTATTTATAGAGGGTATGCAGGTGTCTGTCCAGGGGAAGCGCGGCTGGAGGTTCCTCCAGCAGCTCTGTCCATCCCACCTCAGCATCCTCAGTGCCTGGGTCCTGCACCTGTGGCCTGCGTTGTCGGCTGGGGTGGGGCCTCACGCATGGACGCAAGCTTATCCACTCCGGGGATGGCCTTCACGCACCCCTCCTTCCACGCCCCGTCCTGAACCGTCAGGTGGTAGAGCACGTGCCATCCTGTCACCCACACGGTGGGCACGACGTCCAGGCCCAGGTGCGCCCCGGCAGAGCTGGCTCTGGAGCGAGCAATCTCGGTGTCCGGGCAGTCTGAGGCGGAGGAGGGAGAGAGGCTCCCGAAGCAATGTTCCCCCACTGGGGTGGCAGAGTGAGGGGTGCCTGGGCTGGCGCTGAGCCTCCACGGTGGCCGGCTTTCCTGAAGTGCACACAGCACGGGCTTCCCCAGGCAACCCCGAGGCCCCGGCCAAGCTGCCTCGTGGCTTCCACGGTGGAGGGAAGGACGCGCCTCCACCTCCGCCCCTCCTCTCACCGGCCCTCCGCGGCCATGTTACTTGTAGGGCCGCAGGAATCGGGACACCTTGGAGCGCAGCAGTTTGATGAAGGACCGCGGGAACATCTCCTTGGACTCCTGGGCTGTGTACTTGAAGTAGTTCTGGGGGTGCGCCAGCACGTCGAAGAGGGCCTTGATCAGCTTCTTGTCCTGCAAGGCGGGAAGAGGCAGGACTGAGGCGGGGTGAGGCCGGCCACGGGCCTTCTGGAAAGCCAGGGGAGGGGGAGAGGCGGGGCTGGCTGGTGGATTTCAGAACCTCACAGACCCTCTTCGCCATGCATGGTTTTTTGACTTTAATAGTGTAATTGCCTTAAACACACTATTGATTTGAACTCTCGGCGTACCAATAATATTGTATTTAAAAATAGTTCTGTTGTGAAACACAACACAACACCCCGAGAGCCAGAGGGCACTGAGCGAAGCACGCAGCCCTGGCTTTGATGCTGGCTCCACCTGCTCTCCAGCGGCTTGAGCTCAGGGAGAGTCCCCGCTGCTCCAAGAACCACATTTCCATCCGCAGGGCGGGCACCGACCACCGCTAGGACTCTGGCCTGGCTCCGAGTGAGCACGCGGGTGCCGTGTCCACTGACCTGGGCTGAGCAGACACAGTCACCAGGTGCCCTCGCTAGCCCACTAGGCCCCGTCTGTGCCCTCATCTCCAGTGGGGAGGTGGCCTTGGAGGAGAAACCAAGGCGGAGACGGGAGGCCTGGCTGCGGTCTCTGGGCGGCAGGTCCAGCCTGGCTCCTGGCAGAGACCCCAGCACCTGGCCCAAGGAAGGTGCTTGGCAAGTGGCAGCTACCATCTCCCGGGGCTTTGAGGGTTGCTGTTTTGGTGACTTCGGCCATATCTGCTGCCTTGGGTTCGACCGTCCTGGCACACATGACTGTGTAGACTCTGGCCCTAATGCATGCTCACACACAGCGCACACGCTCACCACACGTTCACTGCGCGTGCGCCTGTGGCTTCGGGGGGCAGACGCCGTGCTCTGCCCCTGTGAGGGCACTGGAGGTGGAGGTGTGTGTATGGGGGGGGCACATGGGACTCCACGAGTCTGCCAGGATGGCTGCCCCAGTCAGGGAGGACGGCACACTCGAGCTGAGAACAGTCAGGGGGTGGATGTTCACTGAGGAGAGGCGGGAAGAAGGTTCCCACGAGGCCCCAGGTGAGCAAGAGCTTGGTGGGCATGGAGGCCTGGGAGCCGGCGGGGTCGGTGTGGCCGAGGGGGCAGCAGGAGCTGTCTGGCCTTGAGGTGGGGCTTCTCTGCAGGGTGAGCTGAGGGCACAGGAGAGGCCGGCAAGGGCGGGTGAGGCAGACTGGTGGGCAGGCCAGGGGCTGTGCACAGCTGCAGGGGTAGAGCACCTGACATGTTCCAAGGGACTGTCTGCTGGGTACTGCAGGTGCACTGGCCCTCCGCACTCCGCTGGCCGCCCGCTCCTCAGGGGCTGCGACTTGACAGGGTCAGCCATGCTGCCCTCCCCGCTCTTGACCCCTACACCCCCGGGCTCCCGGCTGGGGTGCTGCTGCCTGGAGACTAAGAGCCAGGCCCCCTGGGTCTCTGGTGGTGACACTGTGTGACAAGGTGGTTCTGCTTCTCAAGGCCATGAGCAAGAAGAGGAGGCAGTCTGGTCCCCGGGGCAGGGGTCGCTCCGAGGACAGCAGCGGTGGGCGGGTCCCACTGGTTTGAGACACCACCCACCCAATGCCCCTCCTTTCAGAGTCCAGCAAAGAGAGACCTGCCTGGGACCACAGTGTCAGTCCTGGCCAGCCCGTCCCCAACAGGCCGCTTGTCCAGGCCTATAGGTCTGGAGGGACAGATGCACCTGCCCAGTCCCCACCCGCAGAACCCCTGTGAACCGGGCCTCCTTCCCATCTCACTCTCCGCAATCACTTCTCCAGGACCAGGGTTGGGACAAGGACAGGGATGGCCCTGCTCGCCATGAATGCTCTCCCGGGAAACTCACTTTCAAGATCTCCTGGTGATTCTCCGAGGCGTACAGCCGCCCGTCACGGACGATGTCTTCTATCAGCTGCTGGTAGTCCTCTGCAAGGCAGTCAGCGGGAAGAGAGAAGGGGAGGGGCCTGAGACCCTGCTCCCCTCTTCCCTGCACCTCTCCCTGCCCTGCTCCAGCAGGAGGCTTCAGGCTATGGCTGGATGCAGCTCTGCCTCTGCACCGGGGCCCCGCCACCTTCGTGGCCTTCCTCTGGGTCTGGTACCTGGAAACCCTCCTTAACTCGTGTCCCAACCCTGCTGGGCAGTGGCTCTAGCTCGAGCCTGCAGACACCACTGCTGGGCCTGATCTGGACCAGCCGGTGTCCCTGCCAGGCCCAGCTCCCTGAGGCCGAGGGCAGGGCCGTATGCCCGGGGCCCAGCACCATGGGCGGTGGTGGCGCCTACCATCGTAGGTGACGTAGGGCACTTGAAAGCCTTTGCCGCTGTTGCCTTCGTTGGATTTGAACTGGATCCAGAGCTTCCGGGAGCGGGAGGTGAAGGCGATGGGCCTCTCGTAGGTCTGGCAGGTCTCGTAGGTGGTGATCGACGTGGGCGAGGCTGCGGGGGCGCCACGCCACTGCTGAGCCACCCTTTCCAACTCTTGCCTCCTGCCTCAGGACGCCTCCTCCCCACCCAGCCAGCTCCACGACCCAGAATGCACAGCCCCCAACCGCGCCAGCTCTACAGTCTCCTCGTTTGTTCCCTGGTACGCAACTGCCCTTCCCTATCCTCAACCCCAGTTCCTGTGTGTCCTTCCAAAATCCACTTCCATGTACCCTCCTCCAGGAAGCCTCCCCGATGCTCTCTCCAGAACCTGCTCTGATGACCTCTTATGGTCCCTGACTGATCTGTCTCTGTTCCTTTCAGTTGACTTCTCCAGGACAGGGCTCAAACCTGCACCCAGTGCAGTCCAGGAGTACAGGTGGGGGGGGGGGTGCTGAGCTATCCCAGACCACGGGCCTGCGGCTCAGCCATGGGAAGTCCCCATCCTTGGGAGCGAATGAACAGGGCAACCTGCTGAGCCCGGGGAGCCTCCCTGAGCCGCTCTGAGGCAGGGGAGGCTGGTCTCCCTGCTCAGCCCTGTGGGTGCATGGGGAAGGGAGTTGCTGGGGCCACCAGGGCCATGGGGGCTGGTGATGTGAGGGGGTAGTCCCAGGCTGGGCTCTGACGGGCAGGCCCCTTGCCCCGAGCAGTGATGTGCACACAGGACAGGCTCAGAGCAGCAGGCCACCCACCTGCCTGCCTGCCGGCCGGTCTGTGTCAAGCCCTCCCAGGCCCAGGCAGTGGGCATGCCTCCTCCCACAGGCACCCACGGCTCTCGGTGTAGCAGCGGGAGGTGCTCTGGCCGGTGCCCTGCTGGGACTGGGCTCATCCCCGTGGGGGACCTGCTGCCTTCCAGGCCTCGTGCTGCAGAGGCCATATGAGCACACACTCTTCCACACCTGCCGCTGAGGGGCCGGCCCCGCTCATCCCGTGCCACCCTTCAGTCAGCTCAGCCTCGAAGTGAGCCTCTGATGGGCTGTCAACCAGGGTGCAGCTCACAACGCGGGCGGGGGTCCACGTGCTTGTGCGTGTCCATGGGGGCCCTTGCTCCCAGCCTCAGAGGGAGGCCGATCCTGTGGTGTGGGAAGCCCCTGGGACCTCACTCCGGGTGCTACGGCGGAAAGCGGTGGTAGGGGCATGGCAGCTGCTTGGACGACAAGGAAGAGACTGCCTCGGGCCAGGGCCGAGGCCAGGCCTGACTGAGCCCAGTCAGGTTGCCACGCATGGGGCGCATTGTTTCTGGGACCGTTCCACAGAGCTGTAGAGCCCGCTCACAGCCAGGCCCGAGGGCTCCAGCCTGCAGCTCCCTGAGGTCAGCCCGCCCTGTCCCCAGGGCAGCGGTGCCCTCTGGTGCAGCTGTACGAATGCCGGGGCCCGACCCACCC